CAATTTTCTACCTTAACGTATCTGAATATCATATTTCTAGAACACCAATCAGTTGATATAAGAGCAAGGTTGGAAGAAGCTTATCGCACTCTTGGACTGCAAGGTAAGATGTGACAGTTGTATATAGGGAAAGTTGGGGCCCTGTTTTTTCTTTTGCATCTCTCGAGCCCATAACTTGCACATTTATTTGGCATTGCTGGGCTGATGCAAAGAGGGGTAAAAAGTAAGTCTTTATTCCCACTACACTCGAAATTAATCAAGTCAATGCTGTCCAGGAAACAATACAGTGTTATATTTATCATTTATGCAAAGCCGCAGATTATTTAATTTTGATATGGAAAATTATGAAATCTTGTTTTTTATCATTTCTATAGTTAATGCTGTTGGAAATTTTTTTTCCCATTTTATATTTTATTTAAATACTAGGGCGGTGGTTATTAAACTTTCGTGATTCTTGCCCCTCCAGGACGCTCTCAACACTTAAGAGCTCTTGCACTTTTATGAAAAAAATACCAGGTTTTGGTAATAACGTATTTCCATTACGTCTAACACTACAAAAGTCAACAAACGAAAGTAAAGAACGCTTTCAAGTCAAGCTCATTCTATCCAACCAGTAAAAAAACAATCACATACAAATGATACAATATTCAAAAAAGCAGCGACACCCAAGGTTGCAGTCAAAATTTTAAACAAATCACTGTCAATCACATCAATTTACTCACTGTGAATTGTAGCCAGTGAAACCGTTTGCATGTGGCCCTCAGAAACCGCTCATCGAGCCTCACTTTGAGAAACCTTGTAGGATAGTACCGACAAAAAGTTTCAATTTGCCTGTCGAATCTCAGTCAGGTCGGTTGTTACCGAGTTCCCCACCAAAATATGACGTAGCACGAATTTTTGGCATGATTTCAATATAAGCCCTCCGTTTAAAATAAAACATAGAAAAGTTTTTGACCTTGTCGATAGCAAGAATCTCTCCGACACGTTTTAAATACAGTAATTAATCTAAAACGTGTAAGAAGGTAAAGCGTGTCATTCATAAGTAAACGGATATTGCTTTTGATATATTTGTAAATCTCGTAATTCTTTTTTTTTGTAATTTTGTTTTTGATGAACGAAAATGAAAGACATCTCCCCAAAATAAGCCCTAGTGTTATTGTTTGAAAGAAAATTGAAATAAGACCCTGTTCTGTTTTCGGGGAAATACAGTTGATTAGGCCATCAATTATACATCCATATACTGTACCCGGACCTGGCAGCTCTACTTGTTACTTGCTGACCATTTATTATTGCATTGCTCTTTTGTTTTTCAGGACCGATTAACGTTGAGAACATCACCTTGAATACAGAAAATGTCCATGTAGATAGCTAATGTGGCGGGACTGGAGTTGTACTATTTTTTATTGTGTGTTATATTATTTATATTTTTTGTATGGTTATTGCATATGCATTGGTGTGTGGAGTCTGAGCCCTAATTCGCCCTACAGTTGGTTTCAGTTACTCGACTCCAACAACCACTGCATATGTGAACTGGCTGTAGTTCGCATCCTTCGTCCTTCTTGATTCTGCTGTCGCTGGGTGAGGACCGTATTTTGTCGCTCTTATTTTATCTGCTTTAAGCGTGGATTTTACACTATTTTAATAAAGTCTCTTCGTTTGCATCGTGAACTTCGAACCTATTTGTGTGTCTTTGCAGCACATTGGATCTTCTGAACTAATTATTACAGTAATACTAGACTGTATTAGTGGCGAGCACCTACCAGTATTCCGGTTAAGTCGTACCGTTGCGCTAACATGGAGAAAATGACATTGTGACATATATATAGGGAACAACAAAAACAAATTGTGCAGAAAATTATAAACACACATTTCGATTGCCGATTTACCTACAGTTATGAAAGTTATATGATCCTTTAGGTCAGAGCTTCCTGACTTTTGGTCCAGTGGTTCGCAACCTTTTTGTCTTTGCGGACCCTACTGGTGCTCTCAAAACAGTCGCGGACCCCTCAAAAGTTTTTTTTATTTGAAATTTAGTTTATAGCTCAAACAGCAACCTAATGTTCCATACAGATTTAACCATGTCAAAAATAACACCAAACTAGTGGACATTTTCATTTATCTTGTCAAATCGAATACACTTGATGTGATTTCTGCTGTTGCATATCAGGAGCAAGTCTTGAAATACGTGGTCTTGTTTTTGATAACGATAGACGCATATCGCCTTCGACGTTTAGTTGGTGACGAGCCTTGGATTTGATATGAACGAGAGTAGAAAATCCACTTTCACAAAGGTAAGTAGAGGAGAATGGAACAATAACACGTATTGCTTCCATCGATACTTTTGGGTACGACGGCAAAATGGCGCACCAAAACTGAGAAAGTGATTTGTGAGAGAGGTGCTGAAGATAGCACAACATAAAACGCATTGCGGTTTTTCCTTGCCACCCTCGGACACTGAGGTAAACCCCATTTCAAGATAACTTTCCGAGTACTTTCTTGATTTAGCTGTGCTGGTTAGGTTTTAAAAAGCAACACAATCTCCCTTGTTACACGTTGGCTGTAGGACAACTAGCTACTTGGCTTCAAATGAGAACGTGACCAGTGACCACATGCCCTTGAAATCACTGTAGCTGCGTTCTCGTATTTATCATTGTGATGTCATAACTCGTATTTGTGACAATAGGTCTACGGGAGATAAATCAAAATAGTTTTTGTAGGCTATTGTCACATTGCCATAGGCAGCAACTGTTCGAGCGTATTACAAAAAAAAAAAAAAAATAACGATATTAAACTGCAAATAATTTCCAAAAATCTCAATTTAATCGCGGAACCCTGGGAATGCTTCGCGGACCTCTGGTTGAGAACCCCTGCTTTAGTCGCTGTTTATTTTTATCCAGAGTCGTATGAGCCCCCAAGTATTTAATGTAAATATTTTTACAACACAGACTTATTTGTAATAAATGTTTGTTCCCAACAAACTTTCTGTGCTGTATTTCGATTGCAGAAAATCGCCGAGAACTTATCAAATACTAAATATCCTAAAAGAGATAGTATATTTTCGAATCTGCCATTACACTACAAAGAGTCAAAGAGAACGCAAGCTCAAGAAAGGTTTAAAAGTACGATGTATATATGTGGTACAAAAAAATCGTACTGTGTGATGCAGCATAAAAACCTTTCAAGTCGGGATGTAGTTAGGCTTGCACGTAATTTACGGAATTACGGAATTATTTCGAATTACGCAAGCGAAGTCACGAATTACGTAAAGTCGTAATTATTGGTCGAGCGCTTTCGCGATTGAAACGAGCTCTCTTCAGAGCAGTCAATTCCGTCGATTGTAAAAAATTAAAGTTTAAGTAAAAGAAGTTAGAGTTCCGGTATTCGCAGCCGTTTTTCTCTCTCTTGTTAGGCAGATGGGGAGGGCATAACGCGTCATTTACTAACCTATTATCAACTTATCTAAGATGGCCAATGTACATATTAACCGTAAATAAGGAATAGAATTGTGTCGAGACCGATGGACGCCAACACACCTGGTTTCAACTTCTTCGGGTGAAATGAGTGAAGAATGTAAGAGATCAACTTATAAAACATGGTCTATTTGTAAATGTCGTGATAATTAATGTCGCGCTTATCAAACAGCAAGAGACGGAAGAGAAATTGCGTAATGAACCAACGCAACTTAGTCCTTTCGGCATCGGTAAAGCGATTGAGACGGCAGAGAAACAACATTACGACGGGATTTCCCGTGTTTATTCTGCGCGAAATCCATTTTCTATTACAAAATCTTGATGTTCTGTTACCGGTTTTATCGTTATATATCTGTCCGGACTTGGCATTGCTCAATATGTTTTTTCACAATGCCTCGCAAATCGCAATATGTCGGCCAAATATGATTACCTGTCTTTACCAAATGCGGCAACTTATTTTGATTTATCGTCGACCTGAATACCACCGGCACTCGACCAAACTTGTGTCAATCTTGGCAAATAGGATTGTCGACTTGAGTTAGAAAAATAAATTAATATTTTCATGAGTGCAAAATAAATGTCACAAAATGCATTGTTTTGCGATATAACTTTGTATTTTCGGAGAAGGCATGTCATATAAGTACGGTATTTTAAATAATGCGCAAATAATTAATATTTGATCTAAATTTATCGTAAATAATGTTATAACATTTAGGCCGCGAAATGATTTAATGTAAAATGAAGCATGGAATTCGGAATATCGTCAATAAGTCGGCATCAATAATTATTATAAAATGCTAACTAAGTAGTAAAGTCGGATATTGTAAAAAACGGTGAAATAACAAGTCTTCGTCGCGAGGCAAGCGAAAGTATAATCAAACGAGAGAATACGCTTGTAGTTGATTAATAAATTAGCAACCCGGAATTTTTATTCAATACGAAAGTCGTATTAATACGTCAATACGATTTTAAAAAAGTGCGTAATGAACCAATACGATTTTAAAAAAGTGAACTATCGTTTCTTAAATATATTACCAGTGTTGGTAATGATAAAATTGATCGCATAAAATTTGGTGATAAAGTTGATTAAGGAAAATCAAAGCTAATGCAAAAGATAAAAATCAGAATAAAATTATTTTGAATTCACTCCTTGATATTTGTCTTTAACATCTGTCTCCGGCGTGTGGTACTGCCGGGAATATGAAAACCAAACTTCGATGTCCCATTCGGAATAGAAGTGGATTAAATTGGTTGGTATGCTAGGTTTAAATGTGTGAAAAAAATATCGCAATTACGGGGTCATTACGTAATCGATTTGGCCGTAATTACGGAATTGATTTTTGTCAATTACGTGCAAGCCTAGATGTAGTATTTGAACATTGTCAGGTAAAAAAAAGGATTCGCATTAGAACCCCGGTTTTTGCGCGGGGAAATAACCCTAACACACACCGATTCTTTTTGTCTCGAGGGAGATAATAGGCAGGATGTTTTGACACGCCTGCGTGGAAAAAGTAATTGTATAACAGACCTGGGGTGGGCAAACTATGGTGCGTGCGCCAAAGCATTTTGAGTGAACCCCCCTCTTGGATAAGGTTGTGAAAATGTCTTACCACTCCATAAAAAATCAGGTTTAATTTATTACTTCAATTAAACTTCAAAAATTTATTAAACCTTATTATTGAGACTACTTTGAGGTGATTAGAGCCATCTGAAAATCGACTAACAGAAAATGACTCGACTTGGATGTCCTGGGACCCCCTAGACTTGACTCATGGTTCGGGAACTGCTTCCCAGCACTGTTAGTTTATTACCACCCTTACAGCAATTTTCACCATAACCTCTCCCCCTTGCAGTGACCATCAATACTACACGAAAACTATCCATTGAAGGGAAATCACCGTACTAAATTGTGTGCTAATTTGCACAATATGCATATATTGAAGAAATGGGAAGCGAACAACAAATCAGAATTTAACATGGAAATGGAAACTTTTATGACACAATCGATCTTGGGTTACTAATCACTACTGAAATTAACAAAAGGTTCTTAGAATAATTAACAATGAAAACAATTTTTTTTATGTATACAACGAATTACAGTGATAAAGCCATCGAGCAAAACGGCAAATGAGTTAATGCATCGATAAGAAAACATGTATTTTTACCCCTGTAAGCGTCTTTTTAAAAATAAAATGTCGGATCAGTTTTGAAGCTTGATGTGGAAAATCTGAGCAACACTGAACAGTTTGGCGCGGACGGGTTGTGACCCGCTTGTTACACACTCCTGCTCTGAAGCATAAAGTTGATTAATCGTTGACATTCTTTTAAAGAAGTATTCCCTTAGTATGTGTACCAGGTTAGACCATAATTTTATTCAGATTTTCATTATTTTAGTTCCATTACAAGTTCGGGGACTGTCAACTGGATGTAAGATAGGCGAACAAAATTAGCTGCCTCCATATTGGTACACACACTACTGGAGCGCCAAAGAAGGATTACATACGCCAAAGTTTTTGTTACAAAATTTTAGAGTTCAGAAGTACAAAGTCAAAATTTCTATGACACAGAGTCGAACCTTTTTAAACTTGAAATCAAAAGTCCGAGTCGATGATACATTTTAACCATCTTCACAGCTCTGGTCTCGATTTACCTTTCCACAAAGCGAGCTTAATTCTTTATTCAATGATTATTGAATCATTTAAAATAAAATCTTTTTGTTTAATTATTAAGAAGGTTTGCAGAATAAGTATTAAAACGAGAAAAATCAAAGAAATGAAAATTATTGGAAAATTGAAGAAAAATATAGTACATTTTAAGTATGAAATGCTTAATTCAAAAAAGCCACCAAGGCTTAACGATTGCCATATCTTGCTATTAGTTAAGAACACGCTTGTCAACACACCTCCGATTACCATGCGTGGATTTACAAGGTAAAATATTGTGGGATATATTTATAAGGAAGTGAATTACTGGGCTCTTCACTCAAGAGGAAAGCTGAAATCAACTCAGTCATATAGCGAACCACGGCCTCTTGTGCAGTTACCAGTCCATCTCGGCTATGGTATTGGGTTAGTCAGTTATGTTTCAAATGCATGGATAAGATAAGGTTTTAGTATTTAACTCAGGAAGGTAGTTAAGACAGCTCAGTCACATGGAAAACCACAGCCTCTCGTGTGGTTACCATTCCATGTCGGGTATTGGTTTATGATCGCCAGGTGTTTCTTATGCATGGATAAGGCAAGGTTTTAGTATTTATTTCGGGAAAGTCAATAAGACGACTCATGCGAATTTTTTCTCTTATCTGGTTACCAGTCCATGTCAGTCAAGAGATGCTCAAAATTCTACCCTTGTCCAGAGCCTTGTTCAGAATAAAGTAAAAAAGTTTTTTATAAAGCTTTTATGCTTTGCTCTCCTCCTCAATCACTCCTTCAGCAGCGAGTTCACTCAACACTCGATCTAAGTATCCCTCGTCAGGATATCCATGTCCCCCCCTCGAAGTTTTTTCGGTTTTATGATGAATTCCGGTCCATGTTACGCAATCATCCATTCCAGTCGTGCTTGATTGGCCAACCGTGAAAATTAATCGACGTTTCCACGCTTCAATGAGCAACAGTAAAATCTGTTAAAACATGAAATATTTAAATATGTCATTTGGATCTAAAACATCCAGGAAAAAAAAATAGGCCAAATGGAATTCTCTAGCTCATAGATGTTTTTTCATCCTACTGCTATAAACGGCTTCAAGTTCAGCGTTTAACCTTGCTTTGAGTATAATTTGCCTTACTCTAGTTGGTAGGTTGCAGTCTGCTTCACTATCAAAGTCTATCTGGAAAGACTGATAAGTAAGCCAGCTATTTTTGCTATATAATTAAGTCTCGTTATCAACTAAGACATAGGTTCCCAAAGTGCTTCGTACGGAGACCCAGAGCTCTGTGAAGGAAACCTGGGGGCTGCCCGAGCTATTCGATTACTCATTAAAATACTAACTTGGATAAATTTGTAGATGTTGGAAAAAGCAACAATAACATTGATAGAATTTGACAACGGTAGCGTAAGGTAACGGCAACGAGCCAGTAATTCAAATATGGCATCTATAAGTTCTAATATATTGGTTTCATAGATTTATTGTGGTGCTCCGTAAATAATAGCCAATCCTTCACAGGCTTCATAACACTAAAAGTTTGACAACCCCTGAACTAAGACATAAGACTATGCCACACCATGAGCTTTCTTTCCCCAGAATAAATATAAAAACTCTCAGAATACGTCGGTACTGTCTGGATAAAAAGCTTTGGTTTGCCCCACGAATATGTCAAATTTGAGCTTCATTTCCCCAAGATTAAGATTATATTCATAAAATGTGACGAACGTTTTCTACTACCCACCCTTCTTCCTTTATTATTATCTGGAAGATATCCAACTCTCGGGAACCCGTGAGCAATGAATCGCTTTCCTGGGTGAGGATGCTCAGATGTCTGAATGCCAGATGGTATGTTGTATGTTACTTGTAGAGTTCCACAGCTGGCGTAACCTGTGTATAAACATAGGACTAGAATAGGAAGGACTCTTTTTGACTGAACTTGGAGCATCACAGATCGATTGATACTCAAGGCATGTCTGTACCAATATAGAGGTAACTAATTCCGTTCACCTACTTAACATCAAGTTGTGTAAAGGGACTGAAACCTATGGGCAGGGGGTATATGCACTTGGATAACACAGACAGTCCCTGAACCTGTAGTTGAACTAAAATAGGAAAATCGGTATAAAATTATGGCCTGACCGATCGATCAATTCACTGAATTCTTGTTCTTGTAATAAAATCGTTTCTCTCCATGACTAATGAAATATTTAATTACAAATTTTCAGTACTTCAAATTGGAAGAAGGAGTCACTAGAAGTAATTAGGAAAACATCTATGTGGTAGCGAATTTTACATAACAGAAATTTTTGGGAAAACTTTTTGGCATGGATTTTTTTGTTACTAACAGTAAGTAAATGCACTTACAGTCATCAGAGTATTATGGCTGAAATTTGTTTTTGAGGAATTCATTACAATTTTTATTAAAGCTAAAAACCATTATGAAAGAACTCTTCAATAAAGGTCAACCTACCAGGCAAATGGCTTTGTGATGTAGTATAAGTCATGGTCCCTGGTGGCTGGGTTCCCGTCTTTATACCATGCATTTTGTTACAGGCTGGACATACAAAGCAACCATTCTGAGAAGAATTAGTTTATTTTTATTAAATTTTATTTAAGATTTCTGCCCCTTTCACGGCAAAAAAAGTCTTCGCACAAGCCCATTGATATATGAGCAGCCGTTATTTTCAGAAAGACCAAAGGCATTGCATTCCCCATGCAGAGGTTGCCATAGAAACCTTTGACAAAGAGATACGTTCAACACTCTAACCACAGAACCATTGGATTAAAATTTGGAGCAGAAACTGTGGATCATGATCACTGATGTCACTTAGAATAATTAAGGTCAAAGGTGTGAAGATATTTCAATTAGTATACTAAAGAACGAGTTACCCTTGCTGGTTAAATAATTAAAGGCAGTGACAAAATTTATCCAACAATTGGCCAAGTGGTGTGTACATTGGATTAAAGCGCAGCACTATTTTGCATGTGTGCGAGCACGATCTTGTTGTAAGAATTTAGCCCGGTTCGAGTTATAGCAGTTGGAATTAAGTTAGCATAATGACTTTTCGTTTGAGTGCGATCAGAGGTATGTGTTATAAAATCTCATACCTGCACACTATGGCTATACGAAGCTTCAATACATTCAGTGTGGAAAATGTGTTTGCACAAATTCAATTCCAAAGTATCTTTGCCTAAAATGATAAAAATAATTTTGTTGAGAATGGTTTTATCACAACTCCCCCCCCCCCAAAAAGGGAATATTTTTAGCATAGTTTCAATCGAAAAATGTTATATTGAAAAATTGAAGTATGACCAATAAGCCCATTATTTAATCACAAAACATTCAAAGATAGAGAGCCAATCAAATGTAAATATCAACTTTCCTATATGTCCGAATTGAACGTCATTGGATACCAATTCTTCTGGAGATTTGACCAAAATTGTATTTTCATAACAGGCAACGTTTTGGACCGAGGGCCAAAAATTTTGCCCACCTAGACTGGTGGGCCATGTAAGTGTGACGTAAAAAGTTACATTTTATGAAAAATATTTACAGTGTTACAAAAGCGAAAGTAGAAACTAAAAAACTAAACTAAATTTAATCGCAATCTCAACAGATTCCTTGGGCCATATTTTAGCTAAAACACTAAAATTTGGTTTTAGTTTGGTTGTGGAAGCGTCAGGCGGACCACATTAAATTACCGAACAAACCTGGCCCCCGTTGTAGTTTGCCCATGTCATAGATACAAGATAATCAACATTAAAAAACATTTGAAATATTAGATTATCCAGTTCCACCCATACCTGCTCATAAACAGCATTGAATTAGTGTACTAGAGGAAAGACTTTTGTTGGTGAACTAATTAAAGACAGTGACAAATTGTACCCAACAAGTGATAAAGTGCTTCAGATCATTGCATGTTGACATCATATGTGAGACTTTTACACTATAAAATCCATTCCTTCTACTAATTTAAACAACATAAAATTAAAACAAAATGAAATATCATACTTTGTCCAAATCCAGAAGTTTCAGTCAGTTGGCTCTGACATATTGCACAATCATCTGTTGATTTTGGGTCGATGCTCAATGACTTCATAAAATGCTTTATGACCTCATGAATTGGAACAATAGATGTACTGCTACCTGCGAAAAATAATAAGTTGGAGGAGGCCGCCTGAGGAAAACTACTTTTATCCTTTTTTCCATTTCCCTCCTATTACTACGAGACCCAATATTTTACCCTAAATGTTGATGTTTCATTCAAATTCATGGGAACATTTTCAAATAACATATGGGAACACTTCAAAAAAATAACTTTCTACTACTTAATTCCTCTTTCATGTCCTTTGAGACCGATATTTTATCCTAAAATTTGCTGTTTAATTTTTAACTTCATGGGAACATTCTCAAATAACATTTGGGAACACATCAAAAGTGTTGATATTCATGAAAATTGCTCTTTTGTTTTGAGCTTGACATAATATTATTGTTTCACAAGTGACAATAGTCTATTTATGAGAAAAAATAACACAAAATGGTACAGAACACAGCTCTGGAGTATTCAGTTTTATAAGTTTTTATTGATACCGGGATTCTACTTTTTAATCTAAATGGAGCGGAGTGCAAATAGCATTGAGTTGACCAAGCATTTATATCAATATACAATTGTACAAAGCTTGGATATGCCAAACTTTTTTTTTGCCACAATATTTTTATCTTTCGCTAGAGTATGGTTTTTAATTCGGCAAGCAAGACAATCGTTTCCCATTCGACGCAACGACTCGCCAATGCTAAGCGAGACCCTGGAATAATTGATATCAGTAAGTACGATACAAAAAGCACTTTGTTTCGGACTTTGTGTCCATGTATTTGAGCGTCGCTCTCTTGTTTTACTTTTTATAATATTTACCTGAAGTGCACGGGATGCCACCAGGTGGACATGGAGGAACCTTCACACTGCTGAAAAATAATAAATTGTTATGACTTAAAGATCCAATATATGAAAACCTAATTACAATTGATTAACCAAAACAGTTATTACTTCATAATCATGTAGTACTCCCGTAGTATGTGTATCAGGTTAGGGTTAGGCGGCAATTTTATTCTGATTTTCCTTATTTTAGTTCTAATACGAGTTCGGGGACTGCCTGTGTTAGCCAAGTGAATATACCCCCTGTCCATAGGCTTCTGTCCCTTCACACAACTTGATGTGAAGTAGGTGAACAAAAAATATTGGTACACACACTTCGGGAGACGCCAAATGTTAAATGTTTGTATCATACAGTTTGGTTAACAATAGCAGAAAATCTTGTTGTAGCTACAATCAACAAACAAAGTCTTAAAACCTCAGAATTTAAAGCGATGTTTCTCAAACAGTAGGACGCGCCCCACAAGGGGGACATAGAAGGAGACGTGAAGCTAATCGAAACTAAAATATTTGTTAGATTTGATCTTGCCTGCCTTATTTTCAACGTGTTATTTGAATAAAAAATAATTTCACCTTACTATTTGATATTTGCAGCCTAATGTTAGCTAGATATTTTTGCGGTGAGGTGCGAGACTTGGCAAATTCCAAAAAAGGGGTGCGACTTAAAAAGTTCCACAACCACTGATTAAAGTACCGTATCGAAAACTGTAAAATTATGATTTGTACCTTTTTGTTGATATCTTTCTAGTATTTGCGTTTCCTGTCCTGCTAGTAGTAGATGATGTTCCAGTGGCTCCAGAAGGGGTTTTGGGTAAAGGCCTTTGTGAAGCCATAGCAGCGTATGAAAGAGCAATTTGTGATGTCACAGTAGACCCATTGCTTTGAAGTGGGGGTACAGAGGGGGTGGAAGAATTTTGCAGGTTTCGGAAACTGTTCTGATAAGTTGTAGTACCGGGATACCCATTAGTAATCCCATGGTTTGAAACTGGGTTCCATTGATATTGATGGGCGTGTGGTAGGCGGGGTCTGTGATTTGATTGGCTAACTGTGGAGGAACTGATTGGATAGGAATCTTGCAGTTTGACACGTTTTATTTTCCTTAAATATTGTGTTGTCTTGTTCACCTAAAGGTAATTAGATAATCAGAATATCATAAAACCTGGTCAAGCCATGTTTGGTTACACCGGCGCAAAGGCATAGAAGCAGAAATATGAGAAGCCAGAACCCATAGATTTTCTTCATTGCTTTTGCAAAAATGAAAAAAATCATTTAATATATGAAAATTCTGTTTTTATATGTTATACCCAAAAGCTTCAGTAATCTGGGACATTTGCACAAAAGCTATGTTTTATCTGAAAAATATTCTGAATGACCTGGATTCTGTTTGCTTTCTGACACCCTGTGTTAGTGTGCAGCAATACTTCTCAATCTTTTACTTCAGGGGTTGCCAACCTTATGTTGCCCGCAGGCCAAAATCGAAGGTCGCAAGTCATTGGCGGGCCGCACATATTTTTTGAAAGTTAAAAACCGAATGGATGATACTTTTTACAATAAAAATCAAGCAGTGATACATCTTTCGAATAGAATATAGATTTATAACTTCAATGCATTGCATCTCAAAAAATTCCATTTGAATACTTTCGGCGCCATTGAACTATTTGCACTTAGCATCTTTTAATTATAATTAAAATATAGGCTCATTAAACGAGTAATTGTACTCCGCAGGCTGGTCTCGGCCCGCGGGTTGCCGACCCCTGCTTTACTTACTTGAGTTTCACTTTTCAGATTGATGCGATGATCCATGCCAAAGTGAGGTGGAAACACAAACAAATGCTTCTTTTCCGAATGTTTTCGTTCAATATAGTCTATCATGTCGGTAGAATACGAACTCCAATCAGGTGCATGAGATCTGAAAATATTAATGTTTTCATCTGTCAGTCTACCGGAGTCCAATATTTTTGTACTTGAATAGAAACTCGAAATTCCCCAAGTATGTAGTCCTGTCAGAAATTAGAATTCCAGACTTTATTGCATCAGAGACCAGAATTAAAATATTTAGTTGAAACGAAGTTGATATAGTTTAGTTGAGCGTGGTTGCATATTCGAATTTTGTGAAAAATGAATATGCATAAGAGGATCATTCTGCACGCCCAAATTCATAGAAAACATTTTGACTGCTACGAACCTCCTACCCTATTACATACAGGTTAGCTGGCAAGCAAACTAAATCCTTGAGGGACATGAAATTAATTTTTTCTTTGTGGGGTTCAATGCACCATTAGGTCAGAGTTCAGAGTTTTGCGGGGTTTGGTTAAGAACGGATAGGACTGTAGGGTCAGACTTGAAATTTCCTTGGATTAATTCGTACTTCCTTCTTCGCAGAAAACCCGCGAAGTTTTCAGTAAACACCTACTTTGATGAAGACTTATCCCATTCCCATGAGACTTGCTGTGCCAAAGCATGTGTTGCTGGTAAAGATCTTCTTTTAACGGCCCTTTCTCTACCTGTGTATGAGAAATATATTTGAGTGCTGAAAACTCATTTCTGAAAAACTTGGGTGTGAGGGCATAGTTGCTCAGATTAAAGGATTTTACTGCTCTTACAGAAACACTCAATATGCAAAACTATGAATGAAAACAGTTTCATTTACAACAACTATTTGCTAACGTGTATATACTAATAAGCACAATGTAAGAATCGGGATCATTATGACGTTTTTTTCATCGAAACTTTCAACGGAAATTTATATCCAATATTGATCCTAAATACCTACGGTAATCTCGATATTAAAAGCATCCAAGCCAAATCAGAAAATTAGCAGCGGGGCGATGATTCAGGATAATACAGTCATCCATATCATGATTCACTCATTGACACAAGACACTGTTTATTAAAGACTCCAATTGACCAGGATCATTTAAATTAAAAGACCCTGACTCGTGATCAACTAACCGACTTTTTTTTCCAGGAATAGACGGTGAAAATCCATGAGAAATCCCGACCTCAGGATTTCAAATCTGGTCCCGAAATAGCAACCCTAACTAACAAAATTAGTTTGTGGATCTGGCATCCCTAGCCATGGATAATATATAAGATCTGACCTGTCACAGTGTTCTTTTGCCTGGATGACTGAACATCAACTTCATGAAATTTAAGAAGTGGGTTCGCATTTCCAAGTTTCACAGTTGATTTACCAGTATTGAATACATTTTCAATTGCATGGCAGGATAAGGGGTCATACGGGATGTAATGCCCTGCAAAGAGAAAATGATATGAAATTAAAGGACTATGGCATTTGGGCAATGACCTCAACTAGGGTGTATAACAATAGATTGCGAACACAATGTTGAATCGTAAAGACTCCCGGTCCTGTTGAAAATAATTGCATCGCACATATATTAAGGTTGGATATCAGTGACTGCCTATTTGGGGCCTTGCTGGGAGTGATCGATGCAAATGAGCGTTGTATAATACGGCTCACGAAGAGGTATGGTGAATACATGTATGAAAAAATTGCTGAAACTTCTGTTTCAAACTTATCCGGGTGAGAGGAGAGCCTATAAGACAGCTTAATAATATGGTGAACCACGGCCTCTTGTTGGGTTACAAGTCCATGAGATTAGTTTTTCAGTTATTTGTTTCAGACGCATGGACTTGATAGTGGAGAAAGCTGTAACCGAACAGCAGTTACTTTCAACACCCTATGGAAGTGCGGAGTCCAGAAATCCTCTCACACATAATCATCCCCACAGCATTCGAACCATGAACTCATACAGGGAAATCAGAAGTGTGTTGGCTGGCATACTCCTAGCGCTTCCATACCACAGAGTCAAACAGAATCAGAACCTGATTACACCGGTTAAATCCAGATTCAACCAGTTAATTCAAAACTCACCAAAATCATCTTCCCATTCCCAAACAACAATATCTGGTTGAACAGCAGAGTTGCTTGAAGAAGCCATTACTATCAGGCCTACATTATTTACTTTATATCTAAATTAAAACAAATTGCAACAAAATTAAACCAAATTAGGTTTTTAACAGATATGAACAAAAATCCGGGGGATTGGCTGACTTTAATTTAAGTTCAGATGAAAAAAATCATTCGGGCGTGGCTGGTCAGAATATTTTCATGCAAATATGCAGGCTTGTGTGCTGCCATTTCCAGCTTTATTTCTGGGAAAATATTGTAAACCAATTTTACTTGACTGTTTGGAATAATTTCATTTTAATTTATTAAATGCGCAGATGCTGCCAATTTGCACTTTGTTTCTCAGGTTAGTTTGAAAAGATTGGTCCCAAATGGAATATACAAACATAAGGGGTATTGCTAACTTTAATCGTTGACAGGAGTTACTGAGCCTTGACAGAATAATTTCAAGGTAAGGTAATATTGTCAGTTTTCAGTCTTTCAGACTGTTAAATTGAAGACAGTAATCTGGAACAGGGAACACAAGTACAGAATAGAGTAGTGAAAATTTCAACTTGAAAAATTTTGGCAAATTATTGAAACAGAATATTGGAAAGGAAATTTGAGAGCAAATGTATTGAACTGTTTAAAAATAACAACTTAACCAAGCTACTGTATTTTGATTTAAGTGTTCATGGCACATGGATAATAAGAGAAAGGACGGGCAATTATCGCACCTAAATTTGGCTTAGGTTATCTGTCTGGACGCTATATACCGGTGTATCCATACCTATAGGCCGTGGACCCAAAACTGGGTCGACTGGGAATCTTCTTGGGTCGCTTGTTAAGTCAACGTAAGCGTAAAAGTTATTTTTCATTAATTTATTTCCGTCATTTTGTGGCCACGAAAGCATTACATGCTTTTTAGTATGTGAGTATATCCTGGGGTCGTAAGATTTTACAAAATTTATTTTTTGAAAAATTTGTATTGCTCGAAAAAAGGAACCACTGGCCACTGGTATATACTAAAAAGCAAGTCCGTCATATTTTCTTTCAATTCAATCTCACTACAACGAGATTCATTATTTTAGAAAACCTGCTGAACTAAAACAACACCAAAAAAACAGGAAAATCATGATATTTTAAGAACGAGAGCCCTGAATCCCACGAGCAGTATCAATATAATAGTGTGAGATAATAGTAATCTGTCATACAGAACCCCAATTCTAATTAAAACACAAAAAATATGCAGCAGAAACAATAATTAATGGAACTTGAGTGTCAGCGGCAGGATTCATAAAATAATTATAGTTCTAAGCAGCCTTGCTCAGAGCAAAACACCTCATAAAAATGCATCAACTTACAAACTGATAAAAATAGGCAAATTGAAAGGACATTTGACCATTAGTTAACTAATCAAAATGTTAAAAACCAGTTTTGAACTGCTCACAAAAGATGATTTGTTAATCCTAATCCTAAAAAAACGGATCTAAACATTCATTTTATGATATAAACATTCATTTTATATGGTACTAGTAAATTCTTATGCCCAAACAACCGCTTATCAAGAGCCTTGTACAGAGAAAAACACATAAAAACAAAACATGAAACTGATTGAAAATTTTAGCTTGTTTGCAATTATGGATTCAAACAGAAGTCAGCAAGGAAGCAAGATGATCAAAAATTAAAAAAAATGATTGAAAAATTCAATTCTCAAATTTTTACAGTTTGCTTGCTTCGGTTAGAGATTTGAATTTTGAACAGTATGCAGACACAATAATTTTGTTTTAACCTTGCGTCTGGTTAAACCATACTCCTTCATTATTTTGCAATATATTTAATACATTGAGTTATTGAATTAGTTTAGATCTGGAAATGTCGAAAAAACACAAATTTGCAAAATTGTAAAAAAAGTAAAACAAAAATTCATTTTTTATTCAACCATTTTTCCGAAGAATTAAAAAATGAATAAAGTTGGTTAACACCGTCCCCTTTGAAAAAAAGCTTTCGTATAATTTCGAAATTGTTTTTTGTCAAGTTGAGCCAACGCTTGGCAGTATTCATCAGCAACGCTTTCAGAAAGTTCCAGATTCGGAAGATATAATTTTAGCGCTTGAATGAGTTCGATTCCGAGAATTCCGTAAAGATCTTTCATGATTGATGACGTTTCTTTGAGAACGAGGATAGTTTGGCCGTCACTGAAGTCGAAAGTTGGCTGCGTCGGAGCTTGAAAACACGCAGGAACTATGATTTGGATTATGAATTCCCGTAATGCTCCATTTTGGGTTGTTTTCCACGATGCAACTAATTTATGGAAAATATTGAAACATACTTTTTGGGCTGTCGGGTCGGGGAAATCCACTGCGCCTTGTTTTATGGTCAGCAACACCATTTCTGCGTCGCTATTTTCTTGTTTCAAAATTACCTCAGCGAGGTTATTTGACACAATGGCATGAATAAATTGAAAATAAGTTCGTCTGACAGTTTTTGCGTCTTCAGAAAGCTCTCCTTGTTCTTCTGAAAGAATTTGGAAGACGGTTCGCACAACTGGCATAAAAATTTCAGCCAGAAATGGAGAAATAGACTTTTTGAATTTGTTGACAATTTGATTAATCAGTGGAATAAATTGATGCAAAGCTCGTGCGTTGCAATGTTTAAGAAGATTTTGAACTGCGATAGGAATGAAGGGTAGGACTTCTTCCTCGAGACAAATCACCATTCGATGCAGATATTGTCGAATACCAGAGTGAATAATATCATGATAAACTTCAACATCGAAACCAGACAGAAAAATGCGCAACGTTTTCGGTGTATACATCAGAGCAGCCTGCTTGCGCCATCGTGTGTTTGTTTACTGAACGCTTTGCTAGTACGACTAGCGTATGACATAGAATAATTTATGTCATTAGCTAATTGTTCGCTTGAAAAATGCGTACTTCCACTTTCCGTTTCCATTTTGTACACTTCATGCATTTTATTCAGTGAGGGATTAAAACCTTCCACTAGGGGGCTCAAGAGAGAAGTCATTAAAGCATTTTTTGTCTTTCCATCCAAACTGCTATTCACGATTAAAGTTCCAGCAAGCTCATAAACAAATAGTTTGTCATCTGGTGAAAATATTTGACCACTTTCGTCGTGACGTGTCATTAGCAGCGATTCTATTTGAGTGAGCAGTTTTTCGGTGAAGGATTGTAAAGATTTGCACGTTGTTTTGACAAAACGAGAAAGTAAATACGAACACCGGCTTCGAATTGCTGGATTTGTTGATTTTACTCCCCGTTCATCTAAAAACGCTTGCATGACGCCAAGTAATACGTTCTCATTTGTTCCTTGAAGTATAAGGAAACGATCGTAGCGGACAACCGTTTCAAAATACATCAGACGTACATACGGATGTGGATGATCGCATACACCACTAGATGTCAGTATTGTCAACATATCATGTAACGGTGTCTTCGATCCGGCGTCATTTGTAAATTGACTTCCTAAATTAACAGCTAACGATTCGCCAAGCAGATATAAAAGCCTGATACAAACTTCGACGTCACTAAATTCCAAGTATTGCCATTTTCCGAGAGTTTCAGCCAAAAGTTCGCGAACTTTGCTTTGGACAAGATCTGGATCAAGTTGAATTAAATTTTCATAAATATTTTTCAGTCCTTTCAAGTATTCTTTGAATTCTGCTTCTTCCTCTCCCTCATTTTCAAAGCAATATTCCGAGTCATATTTAAATTTTTTCGCCAGTGTGTTAAATAACACAACAATATTTTGTTTTTGAGATCCATTCATATTTTTAATTTTTTTCAGCATGTCGATATAGTCAAGAGCGAATTGTACGCACTGCTGGGAGACGTCATCATCTTCATGGCCCACAAATTGGAAACAAAATGGCGCTTTATCTTCCGCCGCAGTTACCAGACTGATATAATTTTGTTGAACATTTGGAGAGGATTTTGCGATGTCAGAAATATTCTCAAGTTTGATATATTTAACCCAAGCGGTGATAAGAGCTGACCCAATGCCACCTATAAGTTTAGACAGTTTTATCAGGTAATCAACATCATCTTTGTCCTGGACTTGGCAATATGGTTTTATCTCCGGCCACAGGACCTCAATGAGTCGTATTTTATCCAGAGGTAGCATACCTTTGATGGCAATTTCACGCAAGCAATCGCATGCTGATTCACGAACTTCTGAATCAACGTTAACCCCCATGAACATGAAAATTAACGGCAGAAATTTCTCATTCGCAATCATGTTTATGTCAATCCATTCAATGTATGCGCCAACTACATCCAAACACATGGACGCAATATTAGGATTTGGATTTTGTGTGCATAATAGTAACAGATTATACCAGGATTCCACCATCGCAGGAATGCAAGTCTCACGCATTGTGTCTTTGATATTCTGATTATGAGCTTGTTCGATCTCTGAATGCATGATCGTACGATCCACGACTTCTACGTCAATCGCGAGCAACATTCGCAGATAAAAATCGACACCAGTGTTCGTTTTATTCAAGCAAACCTTCATGACGTCTAGCATCATCGAAGGCCATGATGAAAGGAATTCTTTTGCGAACAAAAGCGCGAACACTTGAGCGGCTTTATTGCGTAAATACAATGGCATTGATTTTAGCTCATTGGACTGCTTTTGGAGCCAGGACATGAGAGCTTTTCTGAGTCCTAAAATAACTTCAGGGGGAAGTTCCTCATGACGATTTTGAATATGAAATTCCAGTACTTTCCAGTGAAGGAAAATCATCTCTTCCTGGTTTTCTTTGAATTCGTTGTTCAGTAATTCAGTGACTGAATATTCTAAACCTTCATTTGATGATTTGAGTCGATCAAAATACATCAACATCTTTCGATGGTCATCTGCATTCGCAGCAGCCCCTATTGTTGTAAATCCGTTACCGAATTCCATCTTTATTTCTCTTATCTCTCCAAATTATTTCTATAGTTTCACTACATGCTTTAGATGTCTGCAAAAAAATATTTATACTTATAAGGACCAATATACGCTATTTACTTGTCTCTGTTTGTTGTGAACTAATTTATCGCATTTTTATTTTTTTCCTCATTCTACAGTTCTATAGGCTACCTGTATATTGAAATTTTGAACGTCTGTAATGGCAGAATATAGGAATAGAAAATGAACACTGATAAAGTGATAGGCCAGCAGCACAAGTGCAGTTTTAAGTATTCAGTGGCGTCTGCAGGTGCCGCAAAACCGTGGCAGTATTTCCATACCATGGCCGCTACGGCCAAACCTATGGCGACTGACTTTTTAGCTGCCACAAACCAATGTCGAGCTGCCGTTACCACGGCAGCAAATTGAAAACCAATGGCAGGTCAAATTTTGCTGCCGTAACCGCGGCAGGTGGGCCGTAAGGACAGGGCTGCCTCTTAGGGTGACAAATATTGGGTAAGTTGGAACGATTTTCTTATGGATACAGTCTTGATGGATTTGGGGTTAGGGTTAGGGTTTAAGTAGATATAATTCTGCATGATCAATTAGAATTTGGTACATTAGTTTGTGAATATACCGTTAATACTGATTACTAAATACAGAATAGCGCTATAAAACCATGGCAAGAGCTGCCGCGGTTCGTTCGTGGCAGGAGCTGCCATGAATTGGTAAGAACTGCGCCTCCAGCAGCAAGCAAACTCTGGAACTGGACACTAGGGATAAACCTATAAAATACAGAAATAGGTTTATTAACCTTGAGCCAAAGTTCAGTATCGGTACTCCAATTCCATACTGCTAAAATCTAAGTGCAGAACTGTACGGTATCTGTGTATGGACCCATCCATAGGCTAGTTGCATGACCAGTCCTCAACTCTGCAACTCGCTCACATGAATCAAAACAACTGAACACTGTAAAGGTACTACGACTTATAACAATATGAACATGTTGCCATCAATGAAGAATTTCCTCGTCCATACATATTTAAATTCAGAAAATACGTAATGGATCATTTGAATTCAATAACAATTATTACAACATCGCTGATCACTTTTAACGGAATAAAAACAACTCTGACGTACAACGACTGAATAATCACGTTTCGTGGACGATCGGCTGCAGCGAATTCGTTCCGCATAGCGCGCAGCTGATTGACGTTTGCGATAAAGGGCCATTTCGAAAATAGACTTGGCAAATTTGGGCTTTAATTCCTGCTATTGAGACATTTCACATTTAAACCAAAAGAAGGCAAATCATAAAATGCCTCAAAACATGGTCCCGAAAACAAATAACTGGCTAACTAATCCCTACTCCGATAACCTGTCTGAGAAACGCTTGATCAAATTTTCTACAACCTCTGCATTTAACGAGTATTTTCACGTATTCAATGATTTCTGAGATTTCAAAAAGTCCTATTTGATACTTGTACGCCTAAATGATCCTCAAACCATGTTCTACATTTTGATTCCATATATGCATTTCAAAAGCTCTAAAAAAATGACTCGTAATAAACCTTTTCGAGAGAGCTGAAAAAAAGAAGAGTCCGTACATAATTGTAATTTTTAATAAGAAAAAACATACAAAAGCACCATAATCAATGTCGTTACTCAAAGGATTATGGCTTCTGATTTTATTTTCCACAAGTACATGGTACCATAGGCATAGCCATGTGGGGTCATTGGAGCCTGGAGGGCCTCACCCCAATTTTTAACATTTTTGTATTACGTGATTCAACCAAAAAAAAATCTGGCCCCCCAAAATTTTGGGCTGGCTACATTTCTGGATGGTACAGAAGTATAGAAAAATGGGTGGCAGTGAAAATTGAACGAAAGATTTTCTATTTGCATTGGGATTTTTATTTTAGGCCAAAATAACGGCTTGATTAAATGTGAGAACAGTATGTATACAACAGGCCAGAAGATTCAGGTGTTTGGACTTGCAATATTTTGTGGCTCAACTCATTTCTCAAAGTCATACAGCTCATTTATACCTATTGTTTTTTGCTGACACTATTATCTCAACGATAGTACACAATCATATGCAAAGTAAAGTCTGTCAGATTGCAGCCATCTTGTTGAGAATAGAACACACTCCAATGTGAACTCCTCTTTTAAAACCAGCAAAGCAGTCAAAATCACTCTTCACATTCGACGAATCAGAGCATAGAATTTCCTACAAAAATAAAGATTATTATATGAAGAGTGATTATAAAAAAAGTTTGTATTTAGTCAATAATACCGTGTTTCCTCAAATCCATGTTATTTTTAAGTAAATGGATATTGACTTTCATATTTTCTATATTTGAAAATCTCCAATCTGTAATTTTGTTTATGTTATGGATTGACAACCCGCTGTTTTTTTAACAGCGTTTATCTAGCTAATTTTGTCTGATTATGCGGCAAAATGTTTTTTATTCAAATTCCCAGCCCTAGTTATGATAAAAAACTGACTCGATTCTAAATTGAATTTCAAACATTTTAAATACAAACCTCTCGGCAATCATTCATCAGAAGAATCCGATGGTTGCTCTTGACTTTCTGCTGCATTTTCACTTGTCTCATTGTTTGTTTCTTTATTATCTTCATTCTCACTTTCCTCACTATCACTCACGACATATTTCTTTGTCTTTTTTTCTCCTTCTCCCTCCTCGCTTTTCTTCTTGTTTCTTTGACTTTTGTCTACACCTACAATATATTGAATGAAATTGTTAAATATGTATCATTTTGTTAAATTGTTGTTGAGATGAAAAATAATTTTTCTTTACCACTACTGGACCAACTAGTTTCAAATATTAAATACTCAAAGTTAGAAGAAGTCTAAAAGGCTGCTCTTTCAACATTGGAAATTTGCTGTCATTAGAGTTCTACGTCCATATATTTGAGCTTTGCTGATTGTTCTACATCAGTGTTTTTTAAGGGAGGTATAGAACATTTTTTGCAAGGGTTCAAAAATCTAATGCAAATTGAAAATATTAATTAGATTTGATCTTGCCCACCTTATTTTGGATATTTACATTTCTATACTGTTCACATTTCTTTATTTTGTTCCACCTAATTTCAACGTGTTTTTTGAATAAAACATACTTTAGCCTTTCAATCTGTTATTTGTAGGTTATTGTTAGCTAATAACTTTTTAGGTGGGGCGCGAGACTTGACAAATTCTAAAAAGGGGGCTTTTGTGAACCCCTGGTTTTCATTGAATGCAGTGATATTTCTGTATTTACCCCCCGAAAACATAAAAATCCCCTCCCCAGTTGGAACATTTTGCTCTAGTAACTAACAAACCTTCATCAGAGTCCTCTGAATCCGATTCCAGACGTCGTTTCACGTTCGTAAGTTGTTTTTCATCCCCCGAATCAGAGTCAGAAGTATAAATATTCATCCTGCCACCCCCGAACCCAGGACGAAACGTGTTCTTAATCGCAGAAACACTGATGGCTCCAGAATCCTCTTCTTCATCTAGTCGGTCATCGAGGTAGTTGGTGTTGAGTCCTCTTGCATGAGCCTAGAGTAAAGGAATGGAATATTGAATAAGAACTTGAGAATAAATACAATGCCAACAACGACCTCAAATATTCTAAAAGAAATAAATGATCGACTAATGCCCAACAGGCAGGATAAGGGGTTTGGTCTATCATATGAATAAATTCTCTTATCAACAAAGGTAAGGAAGTAGAGTATTTGAAATTAAGATGAAGATTTTTATATGAGTTTGCTCTGAGCAGGGCAGTGACTGAAGCATTAAATGCCATATGTGATACAATGATGAAGTTGATAGAGAGGCTGATGTAGGTTTTGAAACTCTTTGAAGAGATTTATAAAGCAGTGTTTCTCGGATATAAGCTAGTACTGTGAAAATTGTGTGTTCTCAAAGTTCACTCTAAATAAGGCATTAGACAAGCACTGCTTAATAATCTCAGATTCAAACCCCACCTCACCACCCAGGTGTAATAATATAGGATAGGCAGTGTTCACTCTGAGGAGAATTATGAGTGTGAAGGTGCCTTGCAAGTTCAAAAAAGTGTGCTAATAGTGAACACTGCTGAGATATTTTGATGCTTTGTAGTTACATACGTATCTCTGAGTGACTGCTTGTCCATTGCCTTATTTAAAGTTGAGATGTGGAATGATGAAAATATACAATATGAACCTTTTCTCTCATTCTTCTCTTCTGTGCCTCCCTCCTCATATGGGCTCGTAGTTGATCTTCCTCTTCCTTCATCAGTTTGGCTTTCCTCGACTCAGGATCTTGTCCGGCTATCGGAAGAACTCGAACTTTTTGTTGATTTTGATTTAAACGCATCGCCAACCGACTTGTCATTTTTCTGAAATGTAGTAATACAGAATAGTTTAAAAGTTTGTTTAGTTTCTCAAAATGTTTTGTTTCGGGCCATGGCCCCCTTGGGGGTTGTTTGGGGGCCCCTAAGTAAAGTGTTTCACTGAGTACTATTTTCGATGGGAATTTATATGGTCCAAACCTGGTTGGAATACAGCAGACTGAAAAAGGATATAAGATGGTGATAAAATGAAGGTGATGAGATAAACTAGTCATATGTAAAACAGGGAAATATCTGGTCACCCAGTAAATAGAGAGTTATTAAATTGAAGGAGATTCTTCTCTGAGCCAAGGCCACGGTAAACACTGCGCAGAGTGCTATGGAAGCTTCTTACAATTATAGTGGTGTATTACGCAAATTCACTCAAAAGTAAAGGTTTTCACCTATAAGCAAAGTTATAGGCCCCACTAAAATGTGCCAAAAACCCAAACTGCATAGATCAGGAGTGGGAAAGTTTTCGTACTGAGGGTCAAAAGTTTCGCCCATTTAGACTGGCGGGCCATGTAAGTATGGAGTGAAAGTTACATTTTATCGACAATATTTACAGTGTTACAAAAGCAAAAGTGGAAAACTATAATCCTCATTTCAAAACTCGATTTGATCGCAATCCCAACAAAAATTATTTGAGCTATTTGTAGCTAAAACAGCATAATTTGGTTTTAGTTTGTTGTGACAGCATCAGGCGGGCCAGATCGAATTAACCAACTGGCCAGATTTGGTCGCAGACCGTAGCATTACGGTTTTTCATTACAGCAAGAACCAATTAACTCACCTATGTGTTGCGGACTTTGTACTGTGAGGTCTGAATGTCAACTTGGTTTTGAAAACAGCTTGGCCTTGCAAACCTGTACCTTGTCTGATGAATAAATGGTTGTGGTCGCCCTGGAATATAGTTTATAACATGAGAGGAATATTAAAACCAATCAAAAAAGATTGGAAAGAAAACAGACAACATTACAAACAAGTTTCATTAGTATAAAAATTTACACATAATTAATGTGATTATACCAGATCATGGTGTCTTTCACGTGCACCAGTGATTTTTTTCCCTATACACGACCATTTGTAACCAATTCTTGAAATTTGTCTATTTAAAATAAGTAATATATAAATATAGAACAGTTTTCAATGAATGTTCACAATGTAATTTAATTATTAATTGAATTGTGTCGAGTTCAAAAATTTTGAAGAGCACCCATCTCTTGCTCTAGAAACTATTGCACAATGACTGGCACTCAGATAGTTGGAAGGTTACGCAATCTTTTACCTGCAAAGGCATGACATGAACGTCAAATATTTCTGATCCGAGATGCATAGACAGACTTCCATCAGACCATCGTACCAGTCTTGCGTTTGATTCTGTCAGCTGCATTCCATTCTCATCAGTGTATTTCTTCCATCTGATTGTGTTTTCGACTTTCAATTTTAACCTGAAAGATTGTCATTCCATATTGTTAACCAGTTATCACTTCCAAATGCATCTACTTGCGGAGGTAAAAAAATTTTACTCAAAGAAAAGTGACAAGTACTCACTCAGTAACACTAAAGTGCCAAAGCTGTCAAGATTATAAAGAACCATAATGTAAAGCTGTGTATTGGTGAATTTTTTTATAACTAAATGAGTTATGTATTCTATATTATCAGTAATTTATGTGTCTGGAGGTCCCAATAACACAATACTAAAATCCGTATTCAGTGAAGTATTCAAGATTGATTCGAAAAAATATTCCATTCGATTCTGAAATCATCGGGTATTCTGAAAGGTGCTCAGCAAGTATTCGTACCAAGATGACACGCAACCTGAAAAACCCCAACGTGGTACACCAACTGTGTTCAGGTTGTGCGTCATCTTAGTATCAATACTTCGGGAGCATCTTTTGAAATGCCCAGCCCTACTTGCCATAAATCAGATAATTTTGTTGTTAGGAAAAATACCTTGTTCTTCCTTCTTCATCCAGTAATTCATCGTCTTCAATTTCATCTTCATAAACAGTTGGATCAAACGGTCGAGTCTCTACGCTAACGAAGTTCGGGAACCTGTGAGACACACAAAGTTAATTATTGGCATTCGATATATATTAAAAATTAGGTTGTTAAGATTATTGTATCAATCAATATTTAATCATCCTTAAACTTGATATTAATTACCCATTATTTTGGGGGTATGATGTCATAGTATAAAGGCTCATGATAATAATCCCTAAATACAGTAATATGACCTCATAATCCTCGTTAGAGAGTCATTGTGACCTAATAACTGTAGGTTGACCTGTATTGTTTCAGTATTATAGTAATAATAAAGAATTAAAAATATTAGAAAACAAAATTCCTCCCGAAGAGTGACAAAATTCGTCTCTGGTGAGTAATTTCTTCCCAATTGGGAAACGTAGGTCCGAATGGATGCCTCATAGTAGACCACTACCTATTTTTATCATAATTTATCACGTCGTTCGAGTTCTGAATTGAATATTATTTCAGTAACAAATGCTCATATATTTATGCTTTGCTCAGGTATAAATTATTTTAATGATCGTAGGCCTGTACCAGTGTTGGATAGAAGTCATTTAAATCCTGTCAATCAATGATCTAAGTTTGACTAGCAGTTAGTTGATTATGGGTCTAAGTCAGTGGTCGGCAACCATCGGGCCGCGGCCCATTGCCGGTGCGCAGAAAAAGTACTACCGGTCCGCAGAAAGGTGACATGAAAAACGTACAATGCCCTAATAGCATTGTTACCAGTATGTGAGGTCAGGTTTTCAAAATTGACAACTACAAAAACGAAATATTGAGGTGGAACGAACGTAAGAAACACGTTATACCTTTGTTTTTGAATGTATTGTCAACATACCTTTTCTAGCGCATATAATTTATTACATAAGATCAGTTTGTCTGTAATTTGTATAAAGGTGGTCCGCCAAAATTTTGGTCAGATGTTACCGGCCCATCCCTGAAAAAAGGTTGCCGACTCCTGGTCTAAGTCATCCCACCTAGAGCGCAACTCAAGATAAGTTAGTGACTCAAATATTGGCTCAAGCACAACTCGAGATGGGTCAGTGTCCCCGAAAATGACCGACATCCACTCACCTGACAAAATGAACAGAATTTCCTAAATCTGTGTTAATCTTTGGAATTTCAACTTCAATTCTTGTTTCTTGCTGTTCCTCTTCTGCTGGTTGTTTTACTCCCTCCTCATCTTCGTCATCACTGTACAGCATTGGTTTTCTGAAAAATGGAATGAAGAATGAACAGGTTATTCAAATATAAATCCTAATGCGGCATTCGACACACTCTATGTAGATATCAGTCACTGCTTGTATTGGGTATATAAAACTACCAAACCTAGTCGGTTCTTCTTCTTCCGGTTTATTCTCTTCAGTTTCCATTTTTTCATCGTCGTCAGAAGATGAAATATCGTCTGCGTCACCAAATAAATCTTCCTGAGCTGCTGATTGAGTCTGGAATAGAAGAAATGATAAAATAAATTATACCTGAGCAAAACATAAACATATGGGCATAAGTTAGCGCTCTAGAAGTATGCGTACCAAAATGGAGATAACTAATTTTGTTCGCCTACTTTACATCAAGTCGTGTAAAGGGAATAAAACCTATGGGCAGGAGGTATATTCACTTGGCTAATACGGACAGTCCCCGAACTCGTAATAGAACTAAGGAAAATCGGAATAAAATTATGGCCTAACCCTAACCTGGTACACATACTATGGGAGTACCCATAAGTTACAAGAATAAAATTCAATTCAGCATACAAATTGTAGAAATTCCATGTTGTAATAAATTATGATAAAAATACATAGTGGTCTACCATGAGCCACGTTTCCCAATTGAACAGCAATTACTCCCAACAAAGAAATTTTGTTGCTCTTGCGGAGAGATTTTGCTTTGTACTATTTTTTTCTACATTATTACCATAATACTGAAATTGTTGAGCTGATTGGATTATTTTTCCCTTATAAAATTGACATGAAAAATTGCTTGAATAAGTATTTAGTGGGGCATAATGCACTAACATGAATCTATATAATTTTACTTCTTGCGATCTTAATGGTCTGCTGTCAATTAACTCAGAGATGAGTCTTTCTTTATATCTGTGTAAGTGAGTGTAACATTGTTGGGAGCAAATAGTCTTTAGAAAATGAGGTATTTACCAACTCAGTCTCAGAACAATGATCCATAGTTCAAAGTTCAACATTCACAAAGAAAAGTTATCACTAACCGGGTCTCCAGCATTTTCATCACTTGAACTTGCGTCACTTCCTCCAGTTAATTTTGGTCTTTTCCCACCAATATCACTACCTGAATCAGAATCTTTTGTTTCTTTATTATCTTCTTCCTCTTCGCTCCCACTCTCAGCGGTCTCCTTTGTTTCTTTATTATCTTCTTCCTCTTCGCTCCCACTCTCAGCGGTCTCCTTTGTTTCTTTATTATCCCCATCACTGTCTTCTTCCTCAGATTTTGCAGCGTCAGCAGATGTTTCAAGTTGTTCTAAAAATTTTTAAAATATGAAACCAGGTATTCAATAATTTATGACTTTTTTCACAGCTATTCAACTTTAGCTGGTGTATCTATGCTGAATAGACGTGGCGGCCTTGCACAGTAGTTCTCAAACTTTCATAATCAATATCCGCCCTATTAACATCTCAACACTTATGGCCGAACTTAAAATATATCTTTTTGGTGATTTAACACAGTTTTTCATGAAATTAGGACGTTTTTTCAAGGTTTTTGCATGTTTTTCAGAAGATCCCCTACAAATACTATTATCTTACTTCAGAAGATTCTTTGGGTAAAGTATAAGTTTGAAAACGCCTCATAAACAAAGAATCATTATACAAAATATTAAACCATATTAAATTTGGTAGCAAAATTTCCACAGACTGATTACACCTAAGAGCTATTTTTTACACATCAGCGCTGCTTTATAACTACTGCTGCGAGTCCTGGTCAGAGTGGAACAAATTTCAGTTGTGTGAGTATTGGAGCTAAGATCTGAAGCCTTAGCCTGGCCCCAAATTTGGCCTGAATTGTCAATCATTACGATCGGGCCGGCTTTCTCTATTGCTGACTTTTCATTTTTTAATAAATATATGTTTATAAAAAATAAATACTAAAACTATGTGTGGAGACTAAACTAGGGAATACTTGTAATAAAACATACTGTACTAAACTCTTGCAATGATAATTCAAAGAACACCTAAACTAGAATATCGGTTAAAAACCGAAGACTTATCGATCGAAGGTTAGGGGATCCCTAAAACAGTGGTCTTACTCCATAGTGACACCGTCACCGTAGTGTCCCATCACCAATTAATTAATAACTCGCTAATTATAAGACATAATCCATCCAAAATCAATAGGCTTCTGATCCGAGCTATGATGAATGCACATGCAAAATTTGGAGCAGATTCAACCTCGCTTTCGTGAGATATCGCATGCATCTAACACACAGACATACAGACAAATACCTATCAACATACTTACCGATCTTAAGATCGATAAGTAATAAAAGTTTGGGTTTGCTTCAAGCCTGCAAATCCAGTTAATTAGTCATGCTCGGGCTGGGTCGGGTTTAATACCAACGGACCTGGGCCGAGCTGAAATTTTTGGGCCCGATTTTGCCTCTCGTAAGTATTACAAAATATTAATCAATATCATATTATTAAGCACAAAACCAGCACAGACCTGCTTCACCATCAGAATCTGAGTGTACAGGGGTTTCCCCTCCAGCTTCACTCCCACCTTCATCTGATTCTTCTTGTGCTGCTGCAGGACTTTCCTCTCCCCCTGAAGCCTCTGCAGCCCCTTCCGCCTCCTCCTCCCCATCAGAACTATCATTGCCTGAAACAAATTTGAGAATATTAAGATTTGTTATGAATAAATCAGGCTCAGCAGCGTCTCCCGACAGTCATCTATCTAAATCTAAATGTTTTTTTTAAATTTTTTTAGTTTTTTTTTTTTAAGTTTGTTTAACCGATAAGTTGAAAAACAAAAATATAAATACCTGATGCTTCTTGAGTTTCTTTGTCTTCGGTTTCTTCAGTATTTTCTTCATCACTCGCTGTGTAAAATGATAGGTTTGAAAAAAATTGAACTTTAAATGAGCGAATAAGATTTTCATTGCAAGAAGATCAAAGTTTAAAAAAAATGACCCTATTGTGATATCGGGTTGTGTATGGGTATAATTAATCACTTATTTGCTTAAGGTACCGTACATGAAGTTGTATAGTTAAACTTTAACTTCAAACATGGTTTACTATTGCATTGTTGATAAATGTATCTCCTCACTTCAGCCTGCGCGGAAGCCTGCTTAAAAACAGTGAAAAACCGTCTAAAAACACCAATAACCCTTCTAAAACGCTTAAAAACAGTGAAAACCCATCTAAAAACATCAATAACCCTTCTAAAACGCTTAAAAACAGTAAAAAACTGTCTAAAAACATTAAGAACTCTGCTAAAACGCTTAAAAACAGTGAAAAACCGTCTAAAAACACCAAGAACACTGCTAAAACGCTTAAAAACGGATGGAACGTCTGTATACCATTGAACAACCATATTGGCTTTTGTATATTCTTAATTAAACATGGCTCATTTAAAATACTTGGGATATTACATATTACTATTTTAAAATGTAGGCTGGAATAGTTGTATGTATGTATGTTTATTTGCCTCAAAAATGTAACAGTATCTGCATAATAGTTAAACAGAGACAGGATACATGTTCAAGACCTTACTGGCCTAACACACGGATGTGTAGCACCCCTAACAAGTATTACAGCAGTTTAGGACTGCTGCGTTATAGTAGGACAACAGACATGAAATATACAAATGAAACTCTGGTTCAATACACAAGACAAAGCACAATAGTAAGTTTATGAAACGTCCATGTCCCAATGGGAAAAGATGGTAAATAGGAAATAAATCACCAATTGATGTTTTTACAATAAATCTCAAGAAACATGCAAAGATTTGTACTTAATTAGGTAACAGGAGGGTAAAAAATTAGTGAATGACATACATAAACTTTGTTTAAACTTGAGCTGTCAATCATAAATTGCATGAGACGAAAGAAATGAAAACAATGGAGAATTTATCATAAAAACTGGATCCATTACTAAGCCATTACTGTATAGAATTTATTGTCACCACGGCTCAATTCAATTCAGTTTTAGCCATCCTTGTACACACACATATCAATACATTTCCCGTTGTCATATTAATCGAGAAAATTTCTTTACTTTTGTAAAATTTAAAATTCGTCTTTGTAACACAATACAACAGTATGATTTTAGATTCATTCATTCACGTAATACCATGAGGTTAAAAGTTTTAATGCATGACTGTTTTGTCATAAAACAAATGCTAATTAGCATTATGCTATCACAACTCACACCCACTATCTTTTGACATTCATAGTTATTATGTCATAGGTAATCAATCACGAGCAATGAAATGTCAAATATTGAAGCCATTTTTGGCGACAACATGATAGTGTTATGTCATGTGAAATTTTAAAACAAAGCAATTTATGAGTTCAAATGCATTCTAAAATAAAATTCTAAATCATGGAAAATAGAATATATTTTCAAGTGAGTCAAAAGAACACATAGAAGTCAATGTTTATTTACAAAGTTTGAATCTGAATTTTGATTAGTTTTATATCTCTTAAAATATGAGTTTCCAAGAATTCGATAAATGGCCCGTTGGCAATATTATGAGACTTCAATTTCTGAAAATTATATCAAGAATTCAGAATTTTGCCAAAAATTTTGCTGTTTTATTTTAATTTGAGGGAATTTTCACATGAAATGTGATTGCAATTTCATATTCCTTGACTGCAATGCAAATGTTCCCTCACTTTCATTTATTGACTTCTTAATATTAAACGAATAAACCAGTTAAAACCAAAACTGGATGTTTTTATGAAAGAGAAGGGGGTCCCAAGCATTGAGAGTCTTCGATGGGGCCACGAATCATGAAAATATGAAACCACTGTATTAGAGCATTTCCCTCTATTTTACCTTCCTGCTCGCCTGCACTCTCCTCCCCACTTTTTTCTTCTTCTGCCGAGCTTTCCTTTGACTCTGCTTCAGATCCGCTTCCACTTGCCACATTCTGGTCAGCCTCCTAAAACATAGAAAAACAATGAATCTTTTATGGGTAACCAAAAATTATTATACAATGTTGCGTGAGTAATTAAGTTTAATCTTGTGGCAGTAATTATGTGCAAGAAGATTGCTAGACTTCTCTTCGTAGTAGGGTGGTTCATTAACTGCTTGTCAGTTGCCGTTTTCTCCACCATCAAGTCCATGCATCTGAAATAAATCACTGATGGGTACCCTGATCCCCTATTCAACTAGACGGGATACCATGTCCCAACATACAACTCTTAACCTCCTCTCCGCCATCACTTGATTCTTCTTCTGCACTTTCTTGTTCTTGTTGTTGTTCTGTTGTGTTCTCTACTCCCTCTTCATGCTCTTCCTCACTGCTACTTCCCTCCCCAAATAATTCTTCGTCCATTATATATAGATTTTACACTAAAGGTCTTAAATGCAAAATCAAAATTCAAATCATGGTTTTTATACAAAAAATAAACAATTTTACATTCAATTCATAAGAAAGTGATTATAATCAGTCAATAAAGGTTTTTAACATAAAAGCTTGCAAAGTTATCAGTGAAATGGTTTACAGATAGTAGACAGATCGCACCAGTGGTTCTCAAATGGTGGCACCCCCCACAAGGGGTAAGTAGGAGTGAACCTAATTGGGCTATTCCAAGTGACACTACATGACAATTCCAGAAATTTTGCAAGTTGTTAGATGCAATATATAGATGCAACTTCTCTTAAAATTCTGGTAATAAATCGTTGAATGGGTGAAGAAATGTCTTACAGCACTGCAAACATTTAAACTTTATTAACCTAAATTCAGTGCGTCTATTTCATATGAAATAACTGTATCACACAATCAAACACTTTGTGTCACTACACTTTTAAAAAAATTGATGAAATTCAACTTTTGCTTGGAATGGCCCAGTTGCGGATAAAAATATTTGTTAGGTTTGATCTTGCCGGCCTTAATATTGATATTCATATTTCTTTATTCTATACATTTCTACAGTAAGTACACATATTTTCAACATGCTTTTTGAATAAAACATACTTTCGCCTTACTTTATGTTATTTACTGTTACTACAACTTGCATTTTAGCCAATTATTCTTTGGGGTGGGCATGAGTTTTGACTAATTCTAAAAAGAGAAAGTTTTACAAAGTTTGAGAACCACTGGATCACACTAAATTAGACTCTATCTCATTTAGACAGAAGAGTGGAAAAAGTAAATAATATGGTTTAATCAAGAAAAAAAAACGAATAGAGTACAGTAACGGCACTTAAGGAAGAATTATTTGCTTTTCATAATTATTCTGAGGGGTGGAAAGCCGGTAGAGCACTTTTTTCAATTTATATCTTGTGGAGAGAAAGGTGTAAAATGGCTCAATTGGAGGACAATTAATGAAATACAGAATATAGTAAAGGAGCCTAAACTTGAATTATAATCTTTTTGTTTCCCATTTTATTCCGGGGGAAAGAAAGCCTATAGGACGGCTCAATTAAAAGGCCATCAATGCCACAGAAAATAGTATTGGCGCTTGAGCCAGAAAATGAGAAGGCCTAATCAAAAGGCTATCAATGCAAAACAGAATATACCGTATTTGCTCGTTCTGTAGCCCGGGCCCATATTGTTTTCAACCAACTCACTAACCGGGCCCTTATTCGAGCACGGGCGCTTGTTATTTTCGATCGTTACAATAATTAATATATTGTTATTTCCAGTTCTCAAGTATGATTTAAACAAGAACAACGAAAACTTTGACTTTTTCTACGGACCGCAGGTACAAATCCGCAAAAGAAAAGTTTTGCGACGCCCTATGAATATTGCACTTGGGCTTCGCGACACCCAGTTTGAGAACCATGGTGTTATGTAATCAATCTGTTATGTACTCTGACGCCTAACGCGTGAGTGTTATCTACCGGCGCCCAAAATTCAACAGCGTTGTGACAAAAGCGCTTCTTATTTCCTATTGTTCTCTACCACTGAAAAATCAGCTTTTACATCGGGCAGGTATTCAAGCACCGGCTCTTATTTATTTTTATGTTCTGTTCACACGGGCAGCTATTCAAACGGGCCCTTAATCAAGATCGGGCAGTAAAACGAGCATATACGATAGTCTTAATAGAAAAAGAGAAATTTGTATTCTGAGGGGCCAAAATTAGAAGCGGAATGATATTCGGGGGCGGGAATAGGGAGCGCCCACAAAAGGTCGATGACGGTGCGTATAATTAAGATACCGATATAAGTGAATTGCTACTAATATACACATGCTTAAACTGTGATGATGACGTAACAATTGGCGGTATCTACGACTACAATGCAAAAAGGTAAAAACAAAGTGTTGAACTATCCGGCCTGCCATATTAAATCATCACATGGGCCTTAATTAAGCCGCAATTTGGAAACCACTGCATTACAGTTAAGCAAATATAGATATGAATATAAATATTCAAATACTGCTCAAACACAGATAAAAAGGAGTGTAGTACGTATAAACTACAGAACCCAACATGATATAATATAATATTGCACAATAATTGGATACGTATGAAGTTCACAGCTCATAATGAAACAATTCATGATGCAACAATGATAATTAATATGACTATAATTTGACACAAAAAATATGGATCAACATAAAATTTTTTAGAAATATTTGGGGACATCGATTCACACAAAATATCAGGTTTGGTTACTTTCCTGTTAGACTTGTGACCTTGCATTAAACAAACATATGAAAAAGTTGGGTTGAACTATTATTCAGTTGCTCTATCTTATTTCAATCCAAGATTTGCTCAATTTGAAAAAAATAATCATAATTATGAGGTTTTATACTTCTCCTATCAAACTGAAACAATATGCAGAAATACTTCAATTTCCACCCTGTGAGAAATTTTGTCTTTTTTAGGGAAGAATTTGTATGTGCTGCAGTACAGGTTGTCCATAAATTCCCTTTACAATTTTCAATTCTGTAATGAAGTCAGTTCTCAATATATCTTAACCAAAATTGTTTGTATGTTAATCATTAATTGTTCAAGTATTTTTACTTCATTTAATACATCTGTGAGGGCCAAAACAATACATGGTATCGATAAATTCCCTTTGCAATTTTGAAAAATGTCAGAAGACTTTATGAACACCCTATATTGCTAGTTTAACAAACAAGGTTGGGAACGACTTATTTAAATGAAAGAATGTAATATTTCCAGTTGATTAAAACTAAAAACATTTGTGGGGGAGCTGAAGTCTGGCTTGATTTACTAACTATTGCATTTTCTCTAACAGCCTACTAAAAAGCAATGGTGCATGACTGGCCAGAAAAACCAAATATAATTTACAAGTACAGAATGCTGTTATTTTTCGTCATGTTTTCTTTCAAGTTTGGATAAGATATACTAAACTTAAGATATGTCCATGCAACATAATCGTAATCCCATTGATAGAAAAATAGTATAGAAACAAAAAAACTTGTAAATTTAGGAAAAATCTCAAGTCAATTGCAATGAAAATGCACCAAGGATAAAAAAAGATAACAAAATGGTTGCTGTCAATTGTATGGCTGAGAAATTATACTTCATGGAAATCAGATTGGGGGGCCAGTATTTGAAGAATAATAAGTGATTTTTCTCCCCAAAAAAACAGTGATTTGATTTAGCAAAATAACACATAGGCCAAACTCAAATTGGACCCTTACAGTCCTACATGAAGAAGTACTATGAAGACCAAAGCAAAGACTTTCATTAGGTAGCATTCGCCACATTAATACATAGAAAATAAACTGTGATTGTTTAAATCTTTGAACGAAACGCATTTATTACTTTGCTTTCATTAGTTGGCTTTATTGAACATGATGAAGAGAATAACTGATAAAACCTGTTAAAAATAAACTAGTTTTATACTGAAAAGAGCAGGGAAGCCATGAAGTGTTGATAGTCTTTGGGAAGGGGACATGTATTAAGGAAGTTTGAGAACCACTGGCCTAACTAACTCATGTAACAAAGTTAACAGCCCTTCGTGAAAATAAAGTCAGAGTGTTCCATGGGCAACTTGGTTGAAGTCTGACACTCTAGTAGGTTTTGCATTCCTTTGTCCCAATGAATTTGTTGGACTTCTCGTAGGAGAAGAACTGTAGGCTTGAGGATTCGTTTTCATATCATAGGTCAACACAAACGGGGGAACATCAATTTGATTCGGTGGGACGATTTTATACAATTCCGGCACTGATCGAATATTCATAATCCGACTTTTGAGGTCACTGACGGAAAATGACGCAAAAATCCAAGTTGTAATTTTCATCATCGTGTTGGTATGGACCATACATAATCTAGAAAGATTCGATTTATAGCGATAATCAAAAGTATTGTATAATTTCTTCAAATATTCTGAAGTAGGTCGATTGAACTCTAGCGTCTGCGTGTGAAAGTACACAACAGTGTATGGATTGTTCACGATAGGGTCAAAGGTCAAAATGAGGTATAAAAGAAACTTTTCTAAATCAATCTCATAAAAATTGAGGTGTTTTCCAATTATTGAAATAACAATATTGCCGTTTACATCTCTTCCAGAAATTTTAATTGCACCAAGTGAAGAAAATTTTGAAAAATTCTCATTTCTAGAAATTCGTAACAGCCTTTGGTAAATCCTTTCCTGGGATTGCAGCGTCTGTCTCTGCATACTGTATAGCATCATGAATCGACGTTTTCCGTCATGGTCGCCTGACATTTGAGCGAAAGAATGTTGAGTCACTCTTTCGTCGATTACAATTTCAGAATTATTTTTAATGTTGTCATCAACGTCTGAATCATGCAAGATATCTTTATTTTCCTCAGGTTCTATTTCCGATATATCAGCGATCCGAATAGCTCGTTCCTCTTGAAATAGTTCCCCCCACTCGTTGCAAAAAACGTTGTTGGGTACATTTTTTAATTCTGCATGCGCCTCATTTACAGATCTCGGAAAATATGTTGGAAATAGCTTTGAGTAGGAATCTACTACTGTTGGGTCTGTTACTATGATAACGGCATCAAATTTTGTACCCAACATTTCGATACATTTCCGAATTGTCCGCAAAGCAATATGACTTCCTGTTACAAGAGGAAAACCCTTCCTTGTTATATGCAAGGGTGAAATTGCAACAGTACGAAGCCCCCTTTCAGCGCAAACCTGCAAGGCTGTTCTATAACAAATATGTAATGCTGTATCAGCCGCTGAATAAAACTTTGGATTATACCTTGGTTCCACAGTATGAATTGCATATCTCGTTGGTAAATTATATCCAGGCAAAACACGAACTTCACTAGTTCGAAGCCCGATAATTTTACGCACATCTGCAATTAGTCTTGGACCAGCAGAATAATGAAGATTTTGCGAAAGTGGAGAAGATTTGCTTAAAACTTCGTAAACTGGAAGAATCAATGCTTGTACTGCTACCTTTGTTATATCTCCATTCCAAAGAAATATTTTTGAATTTATATCCTCTCGAAAATGATATTCCAACTTTAAATTGTCTGTATTTTCAGTGTCCACAGACGTAGCATCATCAACTCCATGTAAACTCTCACAAGTCTTTTGCCAAGACACTAAATCGTCAATGACCACACAATCTCGAGTCCCGCATATCGCACCCAATGGATCCATCATACAGTCATATATGAAGCAGATTGTTAAAACATATTAGCTAATAATATCCATTTTATAAGTAAAATTTACTGATTACAGGACTGAAACAAGTTTGAAAATTATAGTTTTAGTTTTAATTTGGTTTAACTACATTAAAGAAAAGCGAGACATGACCTAACCAAACATAGTCGAAGAAAATAGTTTTAAAAGTTAGCCGCCGGAGAGAGAGAGAGAGTTTATTATTTTTGTCAATCAGAATACAAATAAATTTTAAAATAATAAATTACACAGCATTTATTTTGGTATAGACTGGGAGATGGCGATACGACCAAAATTCATCAAAGTCAGCCACCGCCCACCACCCATTCCAGCCAAATAATTATTGAGAAAAAATATATAAAGTAACCGTCGACTAGTAACTACCAAATATTTAAACGAAGTATACTCTCAATACAAATAATAATGTAAAAATAATAGGTACCAGAAAAAATAACTGAAATGTAGAAAATTATTCGAAATTAACTTGAAAATTGAAAGATAGTAAGCAAACAGTGGCTATGTGACAATTATATGATGGGCAGTTACATGTTTTTATCATTATTGAATATTATAACTATACTCTAATAATCCTTAACAAGGAGGATAGGATAGGATTTACATATTTATCCCGGGGGAGAGGAAAGCCGATAAGACGGCTTATCCATATGGCGAACCACGGCCTCTCGTCCGGTTACCATTCCAAGTCGGGTATGGGATTAGTTTTACTGTATTGTTTGTTTTCGGAAGCATGGACTTGGTGGTGGAGGAAGCCGTAACCGACCAGCGGTTACGTGAACCACCCAACAACGGCGAGGAGTCCAGCAATCCTCTCGCACATAACCATCCCTGCATGGGATTCGAACCTGCGAACCCACGCAGAGTAATTAGAGGTGCGGTGGCGAGCGTATTCCTAACGCTTAGCTCGTTGAGCCACACCGCCGCGCCACAAGAAAATTTAGGTAACTTTTTCTAAATTTCACATGGAAGCCAATCTAATAGATTCAGGAATTTGATTCCAAATTTTTTGGACCAGTGAACTTGATTGATTTTTGGGAGAATTTTGTGTCAGCTCTTGGAATAAAATATGAGTTTTTACCGGTACCGTACCATGGATAGAACCCAAAACAGAAATCCACAAAATTAATGTATGTCGCATATGTATGGAATTCGTTGGAGTCTAGTACCGTACCGGTACCGTACGGAACACTTTGGCAACACCACATCAACATAATCTAAAAAACCACAGAATAAACGCGGCGGTGTGCCTCATCATGTTAAGCGTTAGGAATACGCTCGCCGCCACATCTCTGATTAACCTGCGTGGGTTCGCATCCCATGCGGGGTACGGTAGTTGTGTGTAATACAGAAGTTGCTGGTAGTTAATCATTCTCCATGCTTGTTCTGTGGGATTAAGCATTTGCAAAATAAGGAACAAAATATCAAAAGTCACAATTCAATAATACAGTACCGGTAATAGCATACCGTAATAGTCTACCTGCAGACTTGTCTGTAAAGTTACCGACAGTTCAGCATTTTTACAATATCTTATGCCTGTAGAATAGGATTTACATATTTATCCCGGGGGAGAGGAAAGCCTATAAAAACGGGTTAACCATATGGCGTAGGTACCACGGCCTCTCGTCCAGCTATCCTCTCGCACATAACTACCCCGCATGGGAAAAAAAAACTATTATGAGCTAATAGGAATAGGGCGGCATATCTTTTAGATGTCATGAAATAAGTAACAAATTACTGTTAGTCTGTCAACCTTCAAGGAAAAAAATTAAAAATGAAATTTCAAATCTCAATGGACTCAACATAATCAAAAGAAGTTAGAAATATATGTTTTCACTAGTTAGAAATCACAGAATGCAAAAGATGAAAGTGTGAAAATTAAATTGATACCGGTACGCTTCAAAAATGAAAAATATGTTTTAACAGGATGATACAAAATATATAAAACCCTGTAGCTTGATAGTCAAGACCTTCCACAGTTCTACTGTACCGGTATTCTTATACCTTAAATAAATACTGAAATCTGGAAATCTCCTATGACCGTCAGACTGTATAGACGGTCTTGAGTGTATATTCCAACAAATTCGCAAACAATATAAAAAAGCCAACAACAGAACACAAAAAATGAGTAGGCCTACCGTATGCCTAAAGACTGTAGCGGTACAGGTACTGTACGGCACCGTACCTGTATCCGTCCCTATTACTCGTATTCAACACGGCGCTTTCGTACCGGATTAAAGTGCTCGAGTTGCCTTCTCTTTCTGTACCGGTATTTTGGGTCTTGTTAATATTTATGTATTCTATCGTAAATATGTAAATATGGTACCGTATGACATCGAGAGAGGTTATCGTCTCTAGTTGAATCTCTTTTTTCATCGCTTCACGATAAAATGTGGCATCCGTGAATTCCTGCAGCTCGTTTTTTGAACTATTACGTCACAATTCAGCTCATAGCCCGAAGTCCCGAACACGGGTATCATACCTTCATTTCTATTTACGGTAGGTTTTGTTCTAGCACGTACCGGTACTTTCAATACGGGGCCCAAAATTAATAAATGGATTAATCGGATTTACCTGTGAAACTTGAAGAGAATTGGTTTACAGCATGTGGCGCTAATCGGTGAGTTGCTATTGATATTATTCATTCGATTTGTCTGGCAATGATTATAAGTTAATTTCGCGATTCGTAAACTGCACCGGTACTAGGCTATCGTACCAGTACCGTATTTGTTTGAAGATTTTATCAAGCAAGGTTCCAAGTTCAAGACTCCAGCGCGCTCTGTTATGGGAGACTAATGTTCGAGGAAAGCTACAGGCATCCAATTAAGTGCCAAGAGCTTTTGAGACTATAATACACTCATTCCATGCTTCCGAAAACAAATAACTAACTAATCCTATTCCCGACATGGAATGGTAACAGGACGAGATACCGTGATTCGCAATATGATTAAGCCGTCTTATCGGCTTTCCTCACCCCCGGGATAAATATGTAAATCCTATCCTATCAATTCCGATTGACGCGATAACAGTTACGAGGTACCGGTAGTGAATTACGCAAGTTTAATTGTACCACTGGCCAATATAAAATAATTTGTACACATATAGCGATTAAACTTATACTTATTATATCAGGGTGCTTTCCATTACCAACACGCCTCGTTCGCTTTGTATCTTGATAGGCTACTACTACCCAATTATTGACCCCACAGTAAATCCGACTGGAATAAGCTAGGTTAAATAACAAATTTAAGTAATATCATGAGGAAAATATTAAGAAAAGGGTGATTAGGAACAACAAGATAGTAACATTTTTGGATTTACGATAGAACTTACATATTAATATCGGGGGAGAGAAAAGCCGCTAAGACAGCTTAATCATAATTATGGCGAACCACGTCCTCTCGTTCATGTCAGGTATGGGATCAGTTAGCCAGGTATTTGTTTCAGATGCATGGACTTGGTGGCGGAGGAAGCCGTAACCGGTTACGTGAACGCCCTACGGCGACGAGCAGTCCAGCAATCCTCTCGCACATACCGTACTCACTCCCCACGCAGGGTAACTTGAAGTGTGGTGGCGAGCGTATTCCTAACGCTTAGCACGATGGCCCACACCGCCGAGCATATCCCAAAGAAGGGAAAAGCCAATGAGACGTCCTGAGCATACGGCAGACCATGGCCAAATTGATCAAATCTCATCGCATATGTATGGAATTCGTTGGAGTCGTAACTTATCAGCGGTTTTGCGAACTGTTCACGACAGCGAGGGCGACCAGCAATTCTCTGGCACCTAATTGTCCTTCGCCACGTCTAATATTCCATCATTCCTTTCGCATGCAATTACTATGCCCAATAAAGTCGTTGTATGTTCATGGTTTCATTTCCGTTACCTTGCATTTTGACACTGCAGTTTTATGTATTTTTTTTTAAATAGCTTTGAAACAGGCAAAAACAATCGTATTTTATTGTATTCTGATAAAATGTATGCACATTAGATGCTCAGTAAACACCGTGTGTGTATATTAAATACATAGGTATCGTGTATGTAAGTTTTATTTGTATTGCTATTTTTTTTTGTGGTACTGTACATTGTATTTGTTACGTAAAGTCAGTGTACCGTAATTAATATATTCACATCGTACCTCTTGATCGTGTCGGCACTGAAGACAGAATTTGGTTCGCGAATCTTTTACCACAAACGATTAACTTATTAACTCCCGGTATTTTCATACACTAAGAGGATCGTCTACTGACTCTATAATAAGCCCATGTTCCCGGGGTAGCACGTAATTTGGTTAAAGTAGCCTTATTCAAAATTACATTTTTATACACTTAAATTTAAATTTACTTCTTGCGTTAGCCTTAATCAGGTCGTTTGATTGACTGTCCTGTTGAATTGGCAGCGTCCATCCATACTTGAATTGTAATCCTGTAACTTACTTGACGTTCGCCGTAATGAACTCGAAAGTTACGCCAATGTTTTTCGGGTCCTCTGTTTTGGTTTGAATGTTTCTGATATTAATTTCTGGTTTTTATTTGTAAATAATTGATTGATTAAATATTGATATTGATTGATTGATATATTGATTGATTGATTAAATTGATTTAATACTCATTGGTGGAGCAAGTCTTACTTTGGTTTTTGCTTGCTTTTATGGTTGTTATCTTTGCTTTATTACTGATGTTGTTTTTGTGTTAGATACCGTATTTGTGTTGTGAAGACAGTAATCGTATAATCACTGTTATGATACCAGCGCGGTAGGTGTATTCATATTTAACGGTTAACTTGTGGACTACCGGTATTTCCCTACTATATAAGTATGAGTCACGCGGCATATAGATGAAGTATAGAGCGGTATTTAGTTTATCATGTTATTTAATATATATTTATTATTAAGCCGAATACATTCCATCGGGTTACTTTCCCCCGGGATAAGTATGTAAATACACCCGTAGTCTTATTATTTTCAACTGGGAAATACTGATAAATTTGCCACTAATTGTAAATCAACTCTTGTGCGGTTCGCACTAATAGTTAGGAACTGGGATTTATTAACAG